AGAGATAGGTAAAACTCGATTAACAAAACAATAATTCTTCTACGCATTTACTATACATGCTAATATTTATTCTCTAGATTAAGCTGTATCTGCTATCCTCTTTTTCAAGGAATTGTAACTTTTCAGCAAGCGATGAGAATACGATTAGTTCACTATGTAACACAACGATCGGCTTTACTCCTTTAGCCCGTAACAATCGAAGAGAGAGCTGATCCCATCCAAGCAGTGCGTTTGCTTCCGTTCGTACCACATCCGAAGTTAGCTGCAAATAACAAAATATCTTTCATGTCTGAAAGAGCGATCTTCCTACGGTTATTCGAGCAAGAAGCTCCTTCTCACCTGACATGAATACGTAATTTTGCGAAAGTAAAAACAGAACACATGGGCCCTTTCGTTACTGGCCAAGGCTCTCTATCTGGGCGGCTCCATTCACAACCGATGCCCCTCAACTAAACAACAAAAAACAAACCTGTCGCGTCTGACCCCATCCAAAGAAAATGATCGGTCGCGGCACACTTTCGCCCCATTTGTTAATGGCTACGAGGCGATTGCTTTCCTGTGAAAAATGACGATTGCAGGAAAGATACGACTTTCAGGAAAGACTGCGTGAAAGAGTGCAAGATATCAAATTAATCACCTTTTCACAGACAATTCGTGCATCAAACAGAACGCCATCCTTATCTATGCAGGATGGACCTATGTGAGTCGACGGCGAGCCCATTTTAAATACCACATCAGATAAAAACTGATTACACGTCTCCAGCTCCTTTTTTCCGTACTTGTTAAGTCGAGCAAGCCTAGTCTAAATTGCTCGATTATGGAAGAACTCAAATTTTTTCATAAATCTATAAGGTTTGGGTTTATCACAAGCTGAAGTTAAACTCACCGTTTCATCGTTGAACTTTATAAAGGAGCTCAAATCCGATAAATCAACTTTTGGGCCTGTGTAAGAGTCTCCTAAATCTACACGAGTACACGCGCTGATTTGCAAGAGTTTCATGGCTTTGAATAACCGATCTCCCGTGGACCTGAAATTGAAAGCTTTCATATGGCATGCTATAAAGTCCAAGCGATTCTATCAGACTCAGGCACGACTTCATCTGCGGCTTTTGGTTTACATTAATTCAAATAGATGGCCGAGAGCTGGTAAAACTCACGTAGCTGATTGTAGCAGTTGGGAGACAAAGTCTCTGTTTAGCACTGATTCAGCCAATTCAGGGGTAAGGGCGCGGAAATAAGCTAAAGAATGGATAGTGCTGAGCCAGGCGTTTTGTGAAGATGCTGACTCTCGTCGAACACGGTTTGCCAGTTTCAGCGCTGCCGGACGGCACTCCTGCAAACGAATGATTGGAGATCGACCTGATTATTATAAACTAATTAAAAGACGGGCTGACACCTCTACCTCGACACCATTTCTCGCCATTCCTCCAATAATGATAGAAAGCGATTCTAGAGGAGCATTGTCAACATTATTGTTAACCCAGGTGGCCAAAGAGTTCCATGCAGACATTGCGCCAAAGCGCAACCTTAACATCAAAAGATAGGAAAGAGCTGAACAGATCGTGCATAACGGGGGCTTCCAATCCGATATATCTGCGTTCGACTGATAACAGAACACTTAACACTTCATTAAACGGTGCCCACATGAGCTTTCAACATAACAACCAATACTTTCTCGAGAGTAATCAAGTGAATGTAACAGACCTTCATGGCGCAATACTATCTGAAAGAACACAAGCAGAGCCGGAAAATACGTACCTGCTGAAGCCAGATCTGGAAAATACGTACCTGCTGAATGAATTCACCAGAGATGAAACATCTGACCAATTTTGCAAATTGTTGACGTCGACAAGAAGATCTTTGACGAGGCGCCGTTGCACCCTTGCATCGAAATAGTTGAGCTTAGCACACGAGGCTGCCAAAGATACCAATTGCCGCACGGATAGAGCAGCACGATGGCTGAATTAATTTTATCTTACCAAGCAAATTTTCTTCAAAAAAGGATTTGTGAAAACGTCCACTGAACGTCCAATTAAGCAGCTGTCATACATACGATCTGATAGGAAGCGAGGTAGTCTAGATACTAAAGGGACAACGTCTAAAATTTCATAGGACGAAACTCACTCTGTTATCCTAGCCGAAAGCAAAGGAAGCAGTTTCTTATCCCGAATTCCTCTCTCAGCAAATCTGCCCATAAGTGAGCACATTTCTCCAATCGTGAGCACACAACACGATACATCAATACCAAGCAGTTGAGCTGTTTTGTCTGCGGACTGCCTGGATACTTCCTGTCATTCGTCCGATCCCAATGTGTGAGCACGGCTATCAATATGTTGGCGTTGTCGATATCCCTAAGAAATGATATCAAAACAGAACATGCCGTCAGAAAAGCAACCAACGCCAACCTTATTTGCGATGTTAAAACCTCCTTGACAGCGGCTTTAAACTCCTTCGGCCAAACATAGCCAGCACGAGTACTTGCAATAATAAAAGGAACGACAGCGGTGATTGAGAGTTCTGTTTCACCTGCAAAAGGTGTTTCACTCGAAAAAGTGCCAGGTTGAAGCAAAAGACCTACTGATATGGCTCAATAGCCTCTGTTCCATTTCGTTGAACATTTTTTCATCATTTAGGCCCAGCTCTAGTAGAGCAGTCATTATACCGACAAAATCGTCGTCGACAGCCATTACGGCTATGTCGTCCTCAGTGGGACCTTTTCCACAACTGAATGGAAACTAAAATGAGAACAGCCATTCCGGCCCAACAACAAGAGGAACCAAACCTTCTGATGAAAGCGGGAGCAATCTTTTTGTCTTTGTCTAAAAACAAAGCTGATCTGAGTACATTCAAGTAATCGGACGAAGAAAGCGGTTCTTTGTGCATTTGTACCCTCTAAAAGTAAGCAACGAATTGTAACAAACATACACTATCGAAGGGAAGCAGCCTGGAAGCCCACCTACTTTTTTGAGTTCATTAAAACTGGAAAGAGTTGCAAATGGAGATTTCGCTCGCTCATGAACTGACGAAATTTCATTTTCAGAAGACAGCGAGTCGATGAGACCTTGAAAATAAACATTAGCTTGCAACACATCTACATGTCGCGTGCGTCATAAAGCAGCTCGCTAAAAGTGTTGAAACAAAGAAGATACCCAATCAGAGATACCCAATATACAAATGATTAGAGCACAAGCATTTGGCGATTGACGTAGTGAGGGGACACTCGGCACGCGCAGCGCTCTTTTTCTTTGCGGATAAGATTCCAAATGAACGCTCGGTTTCAGGCCTTAATCCCCTTGCGCCCGAAAGAGACTAACACGTCGGCGGCGTGGCCCCCTTTCCCACCACCTAGGTCACCACCGCATTTTGTCTCCTCTTCGACTGAACTTTTTGCAAGTCTTTGAAATAATGAGCGTATCTTACCTTTCAAAGGATCGTCTTCTGCAACTGCAGCAACATTTGCCGCAAACGACCTTGCAGCAGTAACCCGTAGAGCGGTCTGCGATAAGCCAATGCTACTACGAAACAATCGCCGAAGCATGCTTCAAAGTAGCAAACAGCAGACTCTTGAAAAAATGTTACAATTATTCAACGCGGTACAAGATACGGAAACAATGGGGTTTTCAAATAAAAACATGGTAACTGCCATCGAATTGGGATACCACCAATGCTTGTTAACTTTTATCCTGATAACAACATCGACAACAACCATAATTCGAGTCTAACAGAACATCCCTGCTCAATGACTTTCAAAAACTAACTATTATTGCAAACAATAACTGAATCCCATAACAGGGCGCTACAAACAGAACAAAAATGTAGTTCACAGTCTATCGAAGAAGAAATGCGCCATTCTCGAGTTGATCAACCACAGCCGCACAAATGCATTCATGCACGCCCTTGCAAGTATCTTTTGCAGCAGCCATTAGTGCCGGAAGATGATCGATGTGGACACGGTTTTGTAATTCTACCAAGACCACTTCATCTTCACCTCTCAAAGTGGCGAGCTGAAAAAAGCGTGCGTTATGAAGAAAGTTGCTACCGCACACTGCTCTTCATAATAAAACTCCACGTTCAAAATTTCCAGAAACGATCATTCCAAGGATACATGAAAGTGTATTCAAGAAAAATTCGGAGAGAAAACTCAAGAGTGAAATTGCTTTAGAAAAAAAGCAAGTTTTCATACAACAAAATGTTTCAATTGGTAGATGCCAAACCTTTTTCCCCTTAGGTTTTGAAAAAAAAAAGGTGCACTGCCTATTCCTGAAAACCTTTAAAAAAAGGATAGCCCGTCCCAGAATTCAAAACAGTATTCTTTCGTCATTACTTAAAATGACAAAAGGCGATAACAATCAAATTATTTCAAAGCAGAAATGAAATGCAACGGAAAAACGTGCTTGGAGGAACGAAGGCCTGGAAGAGCACAAAAAGATACGAGGAAGAAAGTTCCATTCATCTTCCAATAGCTTAGCAGGTGTGCTGTCAATAGCTACCACACTTTCATTCTCGAACTTTTTCGACTACATCTCAAAACGATAGTTCCCGAGAATTTCAAAGTGGAAATATTATTAAGAGAAGCAGTGTAGTGGAGAGACTAGTTGCTGCGACGCCGGTCACACTCTTCCAACTACACAGTAGCACAAACTTTAGACAGAAGGAACAATTAATAGGTGAGGTACGCCTACCGTAAGCCGGGGTAGAAGATCCGTTTCCTCTCTCTGATTGACATCAACAACTGGCTGACCATCCACTATACTGCACGTGGCTGCCGCAACAATCCCTTTCATTGGAATACCAGCATCCGACATGGCCAAAGAAGCCGCATTAACACAAGCAGCCAGATGAGAACCATCGCTCTACAATTGGTTTTTTTGTTTCAACCCTTAGTAGCACGAAAGTGGGTAGAGCTGTGTTACAAAATGCCATCAATCGATAGGACAAGATGCAATATAAATATAATTGTAAATTGGAGTTGAATTGTGTCAAAAATTTTGCAGATAAATTTTGACGGTACCAAAATATGCTCAGTGAAAAGATTGATTTCCGTTCGGGAGCAATGAGTTCGATCGTCTTCCCTTGAAGCCCATGTACATTTGTTGATGAAGGAATACATCTGCGACGTTGGGAACAAATGTGTGAGAACTGCGGCCTCAAATGTCTTCTCAATGAGACGCTCGATTTCCATGGATTTGCGATCGGCACGAATTCGTTGCCGACGTTCAACGCCAGCGAATCGGGTCATACTAAAAAGTGAGTATCAAGGAGCAAATACCGGTTTCCGCTTAAAGAAGCCACCATAAATTGTGAAAAAAAAACTTGCCTAAATATACAGTTGATGGAGCAGCGATCTTCTAACTGACGCGATCTCTTACCTTCAAACGGACCGTAGACAGCGCACAAGATCTAGAGAACGAACCTTGAGAGGGTTTACGTCAGTTTTTTTTTATTTTATGCTATACAGGTGTTGTAGAACACTCATTCAAATGGCCTAAAGTTTCGTCCTGACAATCTCATGAAGCACAAGACCAACCAACACATCCACACTAACATGCAGCGGTTGCAAGAGGAAATTGGCCGGGGAATTGAGGAGGACAATTACAGGAACATCACATGGAGCAAGCAAACAAAGAATTAATGAAATCCACACCTTCGTGCCTCCTTGCTCAAAATAGGCTGAACCCTCTGCATCTCGTATAGTGCCAAGCGCGACACTGATATTACGAATTTGATGTGGGCGCCTGCCATCAAGACGGAAACCGTGCTCGGATACAATATTCATGGCTTGATTCTGACAGTATTTCTAAAATTACATAACGTCCACGTGAAGATCACCCCAGGAATACACAAAAAAGTGTTACCTTAATTAGGCTTCCTTAACGGCTGGTTGACTTTCTGGTATTTCTTTGGTTATTTCTTGCTTCTCTGATTGATTTTCTGCTTGCTGCTTTGCTAATTTCTCTGCTTCTCTTGCAGCTTTTGCGCTGGCTTTTATTGCTTCAGTTGGGGTTGGCTCTCCTTGTTTGAATAGAAGTTTCGGTGCTTGCTCTGCGAATACTAGCATAAGCCGACGATTTACTTGCATCTGTTTGTCAATACCTGAAGCATTTAAGGAATATGCTGGAGCTGCGAAGGACAAAACGCTTACTTTTGTTCAAGAAAGAAACAATGCTACCGAAAAATTTCTTGGGAGCCGCGATTATGATACGAGGCTGCTCAAGCGAAATTCCGAGAGCCCTAGGGCGGCGTAATGATATCGTATATGGACCGAAATAACGAAGAATGCAAACGACTTGTTATTAAAACTCACATCGTGAGACACAACTGTCCTCCGCCGATGTAAGATTATTAGTGTTGTATTCACGAACGCAGGAACCGAAGCACTTTTCTGTTAGAATATTGTAGACACTGAGGAATTCGCGGAGCTGAAATTTCTCCTATATGGTCTGAAAGAGCGTCTCCATTTTACATTATGGTGTTGTGACATCTAATCCTTTCTGCTTCTCTGCGTTGGTAAGACACCAGACACTAATGCTCAAACTTTTGCCAGACGAAAAGTGGCTTACGCACCCCCCCCCCCTCCCGAATTGCCTTCATTCCACTGGTCTCACATATTCTTGGCTTGTACCCTCCTCGGCTTAATAGTCTTCGGCTACACCTGGTTTCTTTTACATCAAAAGGATTAGATATCATACAATCCTGTATAACCTGATGTATGTCCTGCTGGATGTTCATAAACACCCGCTCGCCTCCGTGATCTGAAAGGTAAGCCGTTAGGAGACCTTACGAGAACAGACTTCACGAGCATCATTACGTAATAAGATGTTTTAATGTTGAATATGGGCTTTTGCACCTCGAGAGCAGAGATCGTTTCGCCATTCTCCTTAACCAACGGAGGAGATAACAAGATGAAATTAAGGAAAGGTGTCAATCAGAACTACTACTGAAGTATGGAAAATTCGCAAATTAGTACTAGATGAGACTTCTCGTCCGACGGATTACAAATCCAGGATCCTAACTTTGACACTCAAACGTTTTCTGCCATTGAAACAAAAGAAAAACAGCTTAACGAAGTAACAGTCAATTATTGCAGCTTACTAAGAGTTAGCTGATCACCTTGTCAATCTTTCACTATTTTCCCAAAAGATAAAAGCATGCTATTTGTGGTTAATAGCTAAGCCAACAAAGGAACCCATTCAACAAAACTTTCTTACATCAGTAGTATCAAAAAGAATTTCATAGTGTTCGCCGTTACCAACAAACTAGCACAAATTACTGGAATAGTTTCTCAAGTTAACGCGCGTCTCTCAAAAAAACTGTGTTCTGACGTAGACTTTTCTTCTCTGTTTCTATTGTACGAAGAGACGCAGAAAGTATGGACAGTTGTCGTAGAAAGAAGTGACAGTAGAGCGCAAAATCGTGCGTGGGGCGAGGTTTCCTCTGGAACTTGAATAACCTAGCAAACTCAACTTCGCGGATCGGTTGAAATACTCTTCATTTGATTACCAGTCTTCAGGTAACTAGGTCTAGTTCAGTTTCTTCCAGAGATGGTGAAGCTCCGCGGTGCTGTGAACCAGTATTGTTGCGAATGGAACGGATCTTCCACTTAATGGAGCATGAAAATAAGATGTTGTCGTGTTATTGCATGCCTCGGGTGTATTAGCGTCACTATATTTCCCTCCTCTATGAACTAGGCTCGAGCGGATCTTATGATTCCTTATGCTTAGCTTACTGCCCCTAACTTCCGATACGGTGGGAACAGTATCAGTTCATTCGAATTAAAGCGGGTTCGTGGAACTATATGGTAGTTGAACGCACTGGTGTTTCGATTTTTTAGGAACTGATAAGAGCTCATGCAGCTTCGAGTGACTGTTCTCTGGCCATGAGGTGACAGAAATGTGCCATGCTTACATGCTCCACCGGGAATTTTGTGCTCCATTGCTAGAATTGGCATCCGCGCAGTTCATGACCCTTGGACTGTTTCCAAGCTTATTTCAATTCCCCACCTTTCCTGTTTTCCATTATTCTGGAACCTTTCATTTGTCGCATTTTATTGGCCATCGCGTGATGGCACGATTGCAAGATTGCACGATCAATACCAATTCAATCCTTGGGAAGTATAGAAGTCGCAAAATCGCAAGTTCGCAATCATTTAAGCGCGGCCTAAGTGCGGTCATACTTTGCGACTACCTTGTATTTCGTTTCGAGTTCAAGCATGGAATAAATACGTATTGATCATGAGGCATCTATGCGCATCTACTTCACACTCGAACTGCAAACGAAGTGCAAGGTGATCCTGAACTATGGCTACACTCCAATCTCTAGAGGGACGAGGGCTTTGGTGGTAAGCAATTCCCATTCCCTGCCTCGGCCCCGGGCTTGGTCTGCTCCTTCACACCATTCAACAACAAGCAGCGTTTGAAGTGAGGAGTAATACGAAAATTGATGTTTAATTATTTCAATTGCGTGTTGTAGCGTCATAGTTCTCCTTGTATGTGTTCCTCGATTTCCGTGGCATCTCTCATTTGAGCCATAATTGCACGCCGCGTGAGGCGTACAACAGAGACGCCCCTCTTTATTAGCTTTGCATCTTAGTTTGCAGATTTATTACATTGCTTGGTCATCAAAATGGATCCGGAAGCCTCGTATGGTGACGAGAGTCTCACAGCATCCATATCTCTACGTAGACGTTCAGCGTCCTTTCTCGGATGATTACTCTGTACAGCGTACTAACGACGACGCTACTCAATGTAAATTTGCTGCTGTTCAGGTATGAATTTTGGATTTCCTTTGCGATCTCCGATCTTCCTTCAAAAATTCTTCCAAATCATAGTTTACAGTTAGGATACTGGAAGGACGAGTTTCTACCTCGATTTGCCTACAGTGGTGCACCGGAATCTCGACGCGACCCTGAGATCTCAATTGGTTATTGGGCTCGTGTCTCAGCAGTAAATCATCTTGTGGAACGCTTCATTGACAAGACCCAGGGACAGTGCCAAATTATCAGTTGTGCTAACGTCGAAGTTATTACGGTTTTAACTTTCAGGCTGTGGTTTCGACACTCTTTTCTGGAGATTGAAGTCTGCTGGGAAAAACGATGAAGAAGTTTGTCGATGTTGATTTTAGTTCGGTGACGGCTAAGAAGATTCGTCAGATTCGCAAGCCGGCTTCCAGAGTTTCATTAGCCTAATTCACATGAGCCACACGTAAGGTTTAGGCTAATCACTTTCTTTACAGTAATGCCACCTTGATTTCTGCAGCCTGTAACATATGCGCAGTGTTCTTCCAAGTGGCAGTTCCACGTCGTTTACATAGCCATAGCGGCTGAAGGTGTACGCTTCTGAGGAGCTTGATTAACGAAGGAAGGGATAGTTCAGAGGAAATTTCTTCTGCGACTTATTTATTTGCTTTGGACCTTATCTAAGTTAGCAATTAATTTGGTTTTAGGGTTGGAATACGCCCTCAAGTAAATGTGGCTTTCTAGAAAAACTATTTTTTGTATATGCCTAAGTCTCCCGAGTTTTGGAAAAGTTCTGGTCCCTCAATGTTTTTGTAATGCGTTTATTTACAGTTCTGGACTAGGAAAATCTTCAACAATTTAATGTCTACACAATTTTGCAGCCAAGGAAACACAGCATACAGACTTGCACTGCGGTGACTATCACCTCGTGGGCGCAGATCTTCGTCAATGGGCCGAGTTCAAAGCTAAGCTAGATTCTGTCGGAATTGATACCACGCTCCCTACCTTCTTCATAGCGGAGTGAGTATGTCTGTTCTCTTTTTTTAATACTTCTATTTTTCTTTCTTTTTCATCAGTTCCTACTGCCTATTTATTTTGTTTTCTTTCGAAGAATTCAGTAAAAGAGTTCATCGTAATGCGTTATTTCAAAGTTCACTGTCAGTTTATGCCCAATGTTTCATTGACTGGATCTCATTGGGATTAGTTACTACGTCATTACTTAACAGCTAAACCACCTTCACAACACGAGAAATTTTGATTGAAGATCTGCCGATTAGAGAAAGCACTTCACATGAAAGAATCTCTTCACCAAAAAATGAAAAATGAGGGGAGCGGTTTCGGGTGGAAGCCACGTTGAAATTGCTGTGAAAATGCGAAAATAAAATCTGAAATCCGTGCTAATGTGGACCTTTTCAGCAGTGAACCAAGAAGATGGATTTTTGAAAGCAACTTGCAAAATTTTAGAGAGAAGAGGGAAGTAGCTAGGTTAAGCGAAAGGATTGGAAGTCTAGGGACAGGGTTAGAGAACGCGTACTCGCAACACTTCATACCTTTCGAATCTGTAGTTAAAATCCTTACGAACAATTCATTTGTTATTTGTAAAAATCAAAAAAGCGTATAGTCAGAGCTCGCTATTTCAGATGTGTCCTTGTATACATGTCCGTCGATCAGAGCGCGCAGCTGCTCAAACATCTCTCTGATACCTTCGATACCGCAGTCTTTCTCAATTATGAACAGGTACGTTTATTTATTACAGTCGTACGATGTTGTTAATATTGTGGTAAACTAACTAGACCATCTAGCAGACAGCTTCGCATATGTTACTGTTGCTACAGGTTCGCATAAAAGACACTTTTGGAAGTGTGATGGAAAAGAATCTAGAACAACGAGGGATTCAATTACCAGGGCTGCCTGCCTGCAATGATATTGATACTCAAAGGGAGCGGTAAGGAGGTCTGATATTCTTTGAAAATGTTGCAGTGCACTTATGTTCTGTAATGCAGATTCCTGAGCAATGGATGGAAGAATGTGGTTGTCATTGACATGAATGCAGTTTACAAAAAGCTGTTGCCTCAAAACGAAGTGTCCAGGTAAAGCTTATACGACAGTATTTGTTTCTTTTCGATAAATTATTTACTCTTTATTGCCTTAGGATCGAGAAAATAGAACACCTCGATGAAATGGAGTTGTTGCGGCAGCTGCTCGATCACTACTGCATTGGATATGCTGTGAACGATAAGTCCGAAAAATTTACTAGTCGTCTAGTGTTTCCAGAATTGTGAAATACCTCATTTGGAAGTCTTGCAATGTTTATGAGATTCTCGAGCGAATGGACACTGATGCCCATGTCATTCAAGCATATTTTATCCATGGCCTACTGCAGAAATACTTGACCACCTAGAATAAAATTTTATGACTTTCTCGATAACTACTTCATTGCTTCACAATTTGTGTAAATGTTTACAGGTATATTTTTCTATTAATTAATCGGCCGGTTCATTTTGTATTCCGTTTTATTTTCTTGCCTAATTTTTTCGAAGTAAACAAATTAATCTTGTTCTTTCTCTTGCTATTTATGTGCGACAATCACAAATTGCGACTGGGCGTTGTGTATCAGAAAAAATACCACTGTCTTGTGATGGATGACCTTTTTAGTGTTTAAGTACCGAGAGTATTCCTTCCATTACTCCATAGTTAGCGTTCAAAATGTCACCTTCGCATATGTGGAAATTAGCATTACCTTGCGAGTTCGTTCCGGATCAACTGCAGGAACGTCGGAGTAATGTTTTCAACCCTCCGGGTTTTCATACTGGGCGTTACTCAGCTTCAGCATCATGTATGTGCATATTGTTTGCAGTATGTGCATTATGTTCTGCTTGACTAGAAGCCGCAGACTTGAAAGCATTTTGACACGATTTCATAAATTGCAGAGTAGATTAGTGCATCAAGCTTCTGAGCAGCACAGAACACCTTGGCGAAGAAACGAGCGTGGCGACGTAGGCGATGGCTTCCAAGACTAAAAGGTCTTTATCTATGAATATGTTTATGATGTATATGGCCGGAAGAAGTGTGAGTGATTGCTCCATTTTTTACCTTGCTCAAACACGAAACTGATGATTTTTTCCAAACACTCTGCTTCGCTGGTTTAGCTGGTTGCCTATAATGGTCTGACAGTTTCGGAGTTTTTAAACCCCTTTTAACGGATTCATGTTGCCACTTTTCTTTGACAGAGTTTCTTTCCTCGAGTCATATCATTTTTAGGTTTCTATTTTTCCTATTATGATGGTAGGAATGATGTTGTGGCGTCCAGCTAAAGCTCTTTTCTCTGTTAACGCCACTTTCAAGCCTCTTGAGGTACATTCAATTTGCTGATTTTTGAGTATCAAAAACAGTCAGTTGATCACTTTGCAAGTATTAGCATTGAAGGGAGAATTCTTTCTAATTTCCACTTTTAAGGATCAGAACACTGGAAATATGATCATCCATAAATTGATATTTATCCTTGGCAATCTAGGTGCAATTGCTCTTGCTATATATAAGGTTTGTGATTGGTGTTTCTTTTTCATAGAGGAATTTTCACTTGCTCGTTCACCCCGTCTAGTAGCTAACCTTACAGGGTTCTTTGCCAAATACGCCGTCGGATTGGCTTGAGTTTATTCCTCAAGCACAACGTGTTCAGTATTCTATAGTTAGCAGTACTTACGTTTGAAATCATTAAATGATTGTTGTACAGGTTTCCGTTGTGGTTACTTTGCAAGTCTTTGCGAAATTTCCGTGACTAGTACCAATGGTATTCTTTTTCTTCTCCTCGGAACAATATTTCCTGGCTCATACCTTCATTTGTTAGTTAAGTATTGTTGCCTGGAAACTTACGAATATTTTGATGAGCGGCTGTGAGTTGTATCTAGTCCGTAAACTATTTTAATCTGTCCTCTGTATTTTTCCGCGTTATGATTCTTGCTTGGTTTTTCGGCGGTCAATAAATTATGAAAAACCTTTTTTTTGATTTCCATAACCACGTTAATTCGTGTATGTATTTGAGCCATGGTTTATTTTAATGAGCAAACATGTTTTTATATATGCTAGGACATTCTGAGAACGGTAGTGGCTGCGTTCTTTAGTGTCACATGTCACAAGTGAAGGGCAGATGACCTTCACAGGAACCGAAACCTGCTAGTCTTTCTGTTCTCTGTAACTGTTTTTGTAGTGCATTTTACTCCGAACGCTGTCTACCTCCAGACTTTCCTTACAAAGTATTCGTTCTTCACATGAGTATTATTGTCCATTTAGAAGCACGGGTAATTGGAAATTTAAACACCAAAATTGTGGGTATGGTCACGGGCCTTTACTTGGCAAAGTTTATCACTCTTGTGATGACCTGTGGAATTTCGAGTACAGTCCTTCGCATGGGTGTTTATAAAGATAAAATTTATTTAGGCATGTTGCGGGCAACGCATAGGGTCACGATAGTGCAGAAAGCGATGGCATCGACCACAGCCCCACTAATCAAAAAGATCAACCGCGTTTTAATCGCGAATCGTGGTGAAATCGCTATCCGTGTGATGAACACTGCGAGGAAAATGGGCATCGAATCGGTGGCTGTGTTTTCGGACGTGGACAGGAACGCTCTTTTTGTGAAGAAAGCCGACAGGGTGAGGCAAATTTGTTATATGTGTCGTTACTTCTTCTTAAACTCTCCTCTAATATATTCGTCTTTATTGTCTTGTTCAAGTTCTTCAACTTGTTTTGAAGTTGCTGATGCGTGCAGCCCACTTATCTTCTTGCTAGCTCTTATGTTGTTCTTTGAATTGTTGAGAATTGGTGAAGACTATTTGTGAGTTTCTCCCGAATAAGTCTTCACTCTAATTCATTTTGATTCCACCAGTGGTTCTGGTGAGTTTTAAGAGGGTAGCGTTAACAAGCATCAATTTTGCGTAATCACTTCCCCACCATCACTCCGACTTTCGAGCTTGAATTGCGCTTAAATTTCTAATTCATGCTTCTTGTTCATTTTCAAAGTTTTATGCTTTCAGGCCTATCATATTGGACCTGCAGCTGCTTCCCAAAGCTACTTGAACGTCGACAAAATCATTGATACTGCACTTAAGGCCGGAGCTCAGGGTATTCATCCGGGTTACGGGTTCTTATCAGAGAACGCGAAATTTGCGGAACGATGTGCTGATGCTGGCCTCGTATTCATAGGCCCTCCCGTACAGGCCATAAGAGATATGGGCACCAAAAGTCTTGCAAAACAGATCATGCAGGATGCTAAGGTGAGTATCACTTTTTCTGCTAGTTTTTTTTCTATATTAATCGTCCCAAATATGTCCCGAGTCCCAGCAGGGCGACGCAGTTTGTTCAACCTCTATTCTGCTGTTCTACGAATTTTGACGGCATTTTTGAGAAATTTTGTCCTTAAAACTTCAAACCTTACTTTGCTTTCAACGATATAACGTATTTACGTTATTCCTTAGTTTAGGTACCGGTTGTCGAGGGTTTTCATGGCGCTGACCAATCTGATGGCAATCTTAAAATTCATGCTGCGAAGATTGGTTTGTTCGCCTATGTGTATTTCACAGCTTTTCTTTTTCCTTGAGCTGAACGATTTGCAGGTTATCCTGTTATGCTCAAAGCTGTCTATGGAGGAGGTGGCAAAGGTGATTGATCTTTGTTATTTTGTTTGAATCTGTCAACTTTTCTATTGCTTGCTCGCATTCTCGCATTCGCAGGTATGCGAATTGCTTGGAACGAGAAGGAATTCGATGAGAAGCTCGCCTCTGCGAGAAGTGAAGCAATGAAGTCATTTGGTAACGACGAAATGCTTGTTGAGAAATTTGTTGAAAGGCCGCGTCACGTGGAGGTTCAGGTGAGTTCCAACGGCATGTTAGCCGAGAAGTATAGCCCATTTTCTCCTCAATTCCTTGTTCTAGGTGTTTGGGGACCATCACGATAACTATGTTTATTTGTGGGAGCGTGACTGCTCAGTGCAAAGGAGACATCAGAAAATCATCGAAGAAGCTCCAGCTCCACTCATCAGTAGGTTTTCTTCCACTGTACTTCTTGAGATACCTATTATAGATATAGATATTATTCTACCGTACCTTTTTATTCAAATAAGCTTTCTGCTTGTTGGAGCATCATTTAATTTGGTATTTCGATCACATTTCCATATTCAAGGTCACGAAACCCGACTTCGGCTAGGAGAATCTGCGGTGCGAGCAGCTGCAGCTGTCGGTTACGTTGGAGCAGGCACAGTAGAGTTTATCCTTGATCCAAGAGGAAATTTCTATTTCATGGAGATGAATACTCGCCTCCAAGTAGAGCACCCGGTCACCGAGGCTATCACCGGTAGGATAATGATCACAATTGAGTGATGCATTTCAAGCATCACGATTTGAAAGTTCGATGCTCGTTCCTTGCTGTTACAGGTACGGATCTGGTCGAATGGCAGTTGAAGATAGCACAAGGCGAAAAGCTGCCCTTGAAGCAGGATCAAATCCCTCTAAAAGGCCATGCTTTTGAATGCCGAGTCTATGCAGAGGACACAAAAGGAGGCAGTTTTATGCCGACTGCTGGTATGCAGATACTTTTATAAGGAGTTAAAGGCCTCAAAAGGATAGGGACAAATGTCTCAGAATTTCTGTGTGATATTTTCAGGAAAATTAGATTACGTGTCATTCCCAAGCAATGCTCGCGTAGATACTGGTGTAGTCTCTGGTGATGAAGTCTCTGTTCACTATGACCCTATGATTGCTAAGGTATTTTGTAGATCATTTGTATTAGTTATCAGTAACATGTTGCCAATGAAAGCAGCAAAAAAGCCGGCTGAATTACTCTGTGGTTTTATAATAAGTTCGGCTGAGAAGGAACAAGAGCGAAGGAAGCAGTGTATTGTAGCATTATATGAAATGTTTTCTAGTAGACGGAAAGCGCTTTTATAACGTTGACAAAATATGGTATTTTGGCCGCATGGGCCCAGTGCAATTTTCACGCCCCACCTTATCTACGAACATTTTGAACACTTTGAAAATGAATACTTGAAAATGGATCGGAAAAAATCATCCAGGCAATGTTCGTACGTATCATATATTTCGTCACATATCATATATTTGTCCACAGAGTACCCGCATTCCCTTTTACTATTTTTATTTACAACCTTATGCAAAAAGAACACGCGAGTGAGCTGAAATTTAGTAAGGCTTTGAAGGCTTCTGCTAAACTGCGGCACACGTGACTGTACTTCTGAATATGTTTTGTGGTTATATTCAGCAGTGCGTTATAAGATAAATATTGGAACTTAGAAAACGTCCTGTATGCGTGAAAAAATAATCAATTTGTGGTATTCACATAGGAATTTTAATGTCACATAGTGTGGCTCACATGTGGTTCCCATGTGTTTTGGAACGAATTTAGTTGGATCCGCGAATACATATGCAGAACAGACACCTTAAACACGTTCAAAATGTTTTTATGCCATAAACCTTCACATTTTTACAATTTTTTACGTGATATTCCGACACTTCCCCTTCTTTTAGTGATAACTGTTCTGATAAGAGTTGGCAATTTCCTAATAATAGGATTAAATACTGCTTATCCGCTACTGCCAATTTTGTTCTTTAGGTGATTGTATGGGGAGAAGATCGAGCTACAGCTGCTGCTAAGCTCGACACTGCTTTGTCTCAAACACGAATTAGTGGGTTACCTACAAATATCTCGTTCGTCCAAGCTGTACTCCGTCATCCCGAGTTTATAAAGGTTGGGTAGTAATTTTATTTTTTACGTATTTTCTCATAATTGACAATCATATTTGAATTTCAACTCACACATACCTTTTCAAGGGCAATGTATACACAGACTTTATCCCGGATCACCAGGAGGAACTTTTCTCGGAAGTGAAGCAGTCTATGCGGTTGGCTTTGAGTTCCCCTGTTGGGAGTTCATACAAGTGGTAATGACCGTTTTCAGGATCTCGTTGAAGGCGCAGTAGGGTTAGCACTGCTCAGTCGCCCCCTCAATCCGCGCGGTCCGTTTGAGCACATTGCGTTTTTCCGTGTGAATCATCCAGCTCAACAGATGTATAAACTAGGTTTGTTATTTTAATCGTTTTGGTGTGATTCATCGTAATAATATCTCAGTGTTAAGGCGAAAAGGAAGTCACGGTGACCTTCCTAAGTGATACCGAGCTAGAGATTTCGGTTCAATGACCAAAAGAAGCGAGTGTGCTTGAACGACGTTGTGACGGATGAAAGCGGAGCTCGATACACGGTTGAAATGGACGGATGTCGTTGGAAGGCGGAAGCTGTGAGACTTCCCACTTCCGCTTTGGTCAGTTTTACCCGATAAAAAATGTTCAGTAGACATGGACCATTGTGGTCGGGCTGCTTGCTCGATGAAGTGATAGAAAATTACCGCAGAAACATTTATAGTTTATGGGAATAATTTCCCATTTATTGTCCACAGAATTAGATTTTTTGCTGACTGCATGTCTGAAGTTGAAAATTCTCATTTTATGGGGGCTTTGGGGATTTTATGGAGGCTTTGGGGATTTTTATGGAGGCCTGAGGGGGGGGGGTGGGGGAGAGAAGGAACGCTTCCTTAGTTATGATTGGCTTCCTGATCGTTGACGTTGCAGCGCGAACACGTGGTTCAGGGTGTCAACTCTAGATAAGCGATATCATGTCTAAGTGATAGTGGTCAGTTCATATTCCCGGCATGGCGGCCATCAGCGTTCGATCGTAACTTCGAAGCATAACTCGTTCCCACTCGAAACCTTAGAATCTCTCTACAGTCGCACGGCGTAGCACACTGATTGCGTCCCTATGAAGAACGTATAGCGTCCACTATACAATGCTCTTTTGAAGCATTTGGGTTTTCCTTCCCATTTTTAGTTTATTTACTTAGGCGCAGAATTACTTATTACCGGTGAGTGGAAAAATTTCTGGAATAACGTCAGGTAGCCAGCTCAGTCTCCACGACGATGTCATAGTTTGCGAATCGAGTGATTCGCAAAGTATGATGTCGGCCTAAAGCCTTGAGGAGTGGTCTTGAGATCTGTATGAGTAAAATATCATGACCCGCGTTTCGTACGTCGAGGGAGCCAGTCAGCACCTCATACGGATGTGTGCTTGGTCACTTTCCCTAAAGTTTCATTTTCTGACATTAACCTTTTCAATTAATGCCTATAAAAAACTTCGTACGTACAGATTTTTTGAAGTTTTTGTAGTTTTCTGTGCGGGGGTCAGACAGGGAAAAAGTGGATAAACTATGGCTCTTGCCAATTTTTAGCTTTCCAGATTTACGGCTGTGGGCAGGCGGAGTATGACATGGCATTGGCGGAATTTGACGATGAGAGTAGCGCGGTAGGTGCAGGAGATATCCAGTCGTCTCATGCGCCCATGCCTGGAATTATTGAGAAGGTTCTTGTGAAAGACGGAGATGAGGTGAGGTTGTGGTTGATAATCTTTCAAATGAGTATCATTGATTTTCTGTTGAGCGCATATTGATTTTTCAAATCTTGCTTTCAGGTGCAGCACGGTCAACCTCTTGTAGTGATGACTGCTATGAAGATGGAGTATACTATAAGGTAAATTCTCATTTTGAGTCACGCCACGAGGCTCTGCAGAGAGCTAATTATCTTCTTAACAACGAAAAGTTGCTTTTGTCTGTTTACTTCGTCCCAAGTGTTCCATTAATTGAGGTCGCTTTTTTCTTGATGCTGGTTTTCAGGGCTCCTGCTCATTGTAAAGTGGCTGCCGTTTCCTGTGCACCCGGTAATAATGTACCTAAAGGAAAAGTGCTGGTGAAATTTGCGTCACTGGAGCAGAATGAGGTCGAGGCGGTTGCCCAGCATGCTTAGAAGGTGTATTTACGTTGGGTGTTCTACCAATACCATTTGTTTTTAGGGGAAGAGTTAGGGAATATTTTCTGTTTTCTAGTAGTAGGTAGTTGACCCGGTTTGATAGGAAAGGCATTTTTTTACGTTGCTCTAGTCTTTTTATGTTAACGATTCATGCTCACTGTTCTGTCACTTAATCATCAACACATTCTACTCAAGCATTCAATGATGATTGTTACCTCAAATTTAACCAAAGTTTGCTCATTTTTATTGTAATCTCCCCACCCGCCTTGTGATTTACAGCCCCCTACGCGCGCGGTTGCGATGCTGCAATTCTAATCGATGGGATAGAACTAGCTCACATCGCGACCGCACGCCGTAGGCTGAAAATATGTAGTTCTCGGTGAAGTAGTCTACAGTTCATTTTATGTTAGTAGATAAGCCTCTAATGATTTACCGTGCCAAAACGTCCTTAATTAGCCTAGCTCAATACATCTCATATCCCGCAGAGAGTTGCTGGACATCATTTTATGTGATATTGATGTACACAGGACATAAATAGAACTCATTTATGTGAACACAGTGAAAACGGCTCAGCAAATTAAAGCATTTTATCATGTCTTCCGAGCTTATCAGCCAAATGACGGGTCTTATTCCCGTGCAGTTACAGAGCAACGAGTGCAATGACTATTACGCCGCGTAGCAACCTTGTATTTTAAATTATCGGTATGCATTATAGGCGTAACCTTTGCATAACTTAGGTTGTGGATATGCCTATTAGCATTTCGTCGCTCCATTGACTGGTTAACGACAGCGTGACACGGCATTTAGCAGTCTACGTGGGACGTTGTGACGCGGTTGCGCGTCCCACCCATGCCCTTTTCGTCAACTTACGCGAACTTTCCAAGTTGCGAGTTTGTGCATTTGTTCTATAGACATGTGTAGGTATAAAGTAAAGTAGGGCACAAAGAGGGTATAAAGTCTGGTGTGAGGAGAGTTGGCCACGCCCGCAAAGTCGCGTCTGTCCCACGCGGCCAGAAACCCAAAATGCGCGCTGTCGTCAATGCGTTAAGCGCTTTCCCAACTCAATAACGCATTATAGGTCCCGCTGAGAAGTTCAAGTCAAGCTGTTGAGTGTACTGTTGATTTTCTATCAGAACATAAATACAATTTATTCATGTGGAATATGACAGTACATAAAGGCTTAATATCTGTATACGGTAGTGTTGGTGGTGATGATAGGGCAGTGAGCTGGTTGTAAGCGTATGTGTATGAGTACGGGTTTGAAGTTGATCTAACAACGTTCCTGGATTTCACCTGAAAATAATTCTCGTGAGAATCCGGTAAATTTGAATGACCAGTTTGCGCCATGAACCTAGAGTCTAATTGAAATCTGAGTGACCATTGGCGCAGTAGTTCTCAAAAATATCTTAATGAAATCATCTCGTCAGCTTGTCTCTACCCTTACAATAGTTTCTAGGTAGTTTGATGTTCTAACTCAATTTCTTCGAAGTAACGCTTTTTTTTACTTACCGTCCTTCAATCCGAGGCATTTACCCCATTCATGAATTGAGATGGTTCCATCTTTGTCCGTGTCGCAACCCTCCAGGAAAGGCTTGATGCACGATTCCATAGGAATCACTGGCGCAGCGCAGTGATTGGAATGAGCTCGTGGTGGGTGACAACCTTGAAAAGAAGCGTTAAGCCCCACGGGTTTTTATTTGGTTACTAAAGGCGGCTCATAGGGTCGTCACCTTGTCGTGGGGCTTGATATCCAGGTCGCAGAACTTCGTAATAACTAGGGTGACTGTCTCTTCTCAACGATCACGATCGGACTTCAGCGCGCCTGGATCAGTTCTTTCCCACTCGAGCTTCTGCAACCACACGAGCATGGTGCTTCTCAGCCTTTTCATCACCTTATAAAAATGTAACCAACTTAACGTGTGCCCCATCCTTGTTGGTTGGGTGAACCCAGACGGGTCATGGATGGCCCAAGCTGCGAGCCTGGAAGGAGCCAGTCGGCACCATGCGCTCAGGAATTGAGGCCATAAGTTCTCAGTACACACTCCTCGACTGCATTGCATTCGCCGAGATAGACTCCAGGATGGGACTTAAAGCATGGACCTTCAAGCACCCTTAGAGCCTTGTCAATGGGATTATGTCTCTATTCTTCTTTTTTAAACGGTTCACCGATTAGCAATGAAAACTATCTTCGCGCAAGTGCTTTGAGCCCCGCTTCTGCAGAGACGCTTTTCACGGTGAAGCTCGCAAAAGGGCAGAAACGAAAGTCTCGTTGTTGTTGCGGCACACCTGTATTTCCGTTTTCGTGTATTGGTACAAGGTTGTCTTTATGAATGTCTTCAGGTTACGCGGCTAACGGCCCGGCGAGTGTTTGGGAAAATCCATAAACTCCATCGTGATGCTGTTTGAGAAACCGGTCTTTTGGCAGAAATCCGAAACACCTCTGGCCAATAGGACACCAAGACTCCGCCCGCTCGGCACGCCTCCAACAGGTGTTTCGGCTACTAGTTTTTTTTGTTGATTTTTTTTTGCTGTTTGTGCATAACCCACTTGAATTGCGGCAGTGGACGTTGAGAACACCTCTAATATTCAATCGTCGTGGTCATCAAGGGAAGAAATGGGTACAGCTACTGGCGACTTTACCCTTCACTTCAGAGAATTGAGGCTCATTCTAACTCTGAGTGGTCCATGCTGCCCAACTCATGAGTGGTGGCTCGACTAGTAATCTGTTCCAGGAAGTAGCTCATCCAAGTGAAGCCTTACCTTGTCCATTGGATCACCGTCAAGTTCGGGGCATTTGCTGATGCACTCGCAGTGCGGTTCACCCTTTTTGCCGACGACGCATTCCTTTCCCCATCCACAGACATGGTCTTCGCAGGGATTCTTCAGAACAGCTACTGCTGAAATTAAAGTGTTAGCTAGGAGAATCGAAAAGCAATTGAAGTGTTGACGAGGAAGATTGAAGGTTTGAAGGAAGATTTTGAAAGCTTGGAAAGGAAAACGTTGGTAAAATGGAATGGGAAATGTGCAGATGGGGAACGGCATAAAGAAGGAAAGAAGTCAACAAAAGATGGCGGCGATCGAGAAAAGAAGCTTGTGGGAAGATAACCTAGGAGCAGGTTCAAATACCTACTGAGGGATTTTCAACATGTGGGTCGTAATTACGGTATTTAGGAAGAGGTGAAGGAAGGGGGAGGGGATCGTTCAGTGTAGAAGACATGAGAGGCTGTGACTTGGAAAATGCGGGCGTGGAAATTCAGCCTTCAAACCCCCCCCCACCCTCCCACCCCTACCTTCCTCCCACGGTCGACGGGCTTCGAGGAAATACCAAAAGATTGAGGGTGGACTGGAGGGAGGACCACTACCAAACTACCTTACGATGAAGTACTGAGGAGTCGGCACAAGAATTTCCCGCACGCACCACACGTGGATGGGGGGGGAGAAAGGAGGGTAAGAACAAGTGGGTGGGCGATTAATGAAAAGTACTGAAGAGAGGGGGAACGGAAACATGAATGTTGCGGAATGATCCTGATCTAGATGCTTACCGGTGTAAGTAGTTCTTCACTTTGAGATAATAGTGCGAGAAACGTGAAAGAAAAAGAATATGAAGAGAAAGAAGGATGAGGGAAATATCTGTCCAGAAGCGCGAGAATGGAGCCCCATAATAGCAAAATGACATCTTTTCCCTCTGGTAGGTGACCGCGAGAGGCTGTGGTGTTATTGCGAGATCGGATTCTTCCTGCCGACTCTTCGCCTGAGATCGCGTTTCGACGAAGCCAACTTTACACACTACCAGAGCGACGTAGTAGTAATTATAACATTCAGCTGTGTGTTTGTGATCGATATCGAGGTTTGTTTATAACACAAAGGAGTTGCGGAGCCTGGCTGGGGAGCGCATTCTGCCACGGCAGGCAACCAGCCCGCCAGGCAGCAAGCGAAGCCATCAGCACGAAAACATGTTTTCTTATGGAATATAAACCCTTAATATACCATATGATGGGAGAAAGATCAGCCACGGAATCTGGAAACTGCAGACTCTGAGCCTCAGGTTGGTTGATACAAACCCCAAACCCAAATCAAAAAAAAAAAAAAAAATAAACCAAATAAAAATAAAAAAAACATGTGTGCGATCAGCTTTTCTGGCTTACGACAGCGCTGTCTAGCATATTTCCGTGAATCAATGAATGCGCCTATTGGTAATCAGACTAAATTTCGGATGATTAGCGTTGGCCGATCTGTCTCCAATGTCGTTCGTAGCGAAGGCCAGCTTTGGCTTCCATGATAATTACTGAGCTATCTTAGGCGGGGTCTAGTAGGATTTCATTAAATAGAACCGTGCCTGCTTTGTTGATCGGGCCTTTCAAGGATTTTCGAATATTCCTGATTCCTGAATTCCAAGACAGAGCTTGGAACCAAACAAATGCTGTCAGGTATATTCTATGTCCAAATTAGAGACCCATAAAAGAAAAATCAGTGGTGAAGAGGCCATTTTCTGTAACGAATTGCCTGCTTTCTGCTAAAAGCTCTTGATCCACGCTTGAGGAGATCTGCGAGTTCAACTGCCTCTTTTAGCTGGCGCCTCAACGATTCTCACTTTCGTCGCAGGTCATACTATTCTTCTTCCAAAGCAAGATTTGCTGCGATTGAAAAGTTTTTGAACTTGACTTAAAAAAATATTCGTCAATAAGACTCTAGGTGGAATGAAGAAGGGGGTCACAAGCCAACAAAAACAACATGGGAAATCTGGAAACATTCCTATGAAATTCTCCGGAAAATCTGTAGCTCTTCTCAAGGAATCCCTATGCACTGACTGAATCTGTTTCCGACACTTCCAGACATATTCACTTAATTTCATCCAATTCGACAGCTATAGAAGAATCCTCGAATTTGGCTCACCCTGGTGTGAGATAATTTCAAGGGATTTGAAGCGCTGGCACATGCAACATTTCCCAGATCCTGGCGTCACTACTGTAAAGTAAAATGGTTCAGTGTAGGAATCTTATATGAAAAGGAGTTGGTCATCAGTGGCCGGTCAGGTTTTTCATTAGCCCTCTATAGAAAGGCTAAGAAGGAAAAAAGCGCTCAGCTTCTCGCGTTGATCGATTTTCTGGAGGAATGCTCATTCGATCTACTTTTAGAATTGTAGTGATATTCGAATCTGTTTTTCCGACCTGCAAGGACTAGCCGGGTACAACTTGACTCTTTATTCTTGCAGAACCTGTGACACCCGACTAACTGCCCTGGAAGACGGCGGAGGGTGCCGGAGGGGTGCGGGCGCAGGCCACTGGTGAAAATCTCGCCCTGCACTGAATCGAATCATCAGCGTAGGTACGCGAAACGGCGCCACTGGCCACAACCCCACCTGTAAACAGAATATTGTTGAAATTTTGAATAAGGTCTTCGAAGATTTCAAGGAAGCTCTCAAGGTCTCCTCTGGTGTTTTCACCAGCACTTTTACCTTTAGATCCCAATATCGGGTTCATTCTCATACCGAATAGAGAAGGCTGCTCAGAAGCTGAGCTGGAAGACGCTCGCCGGTAGCCAATGTGACCATTGATTTCCCACAGCAGCTCCCAAAAAACGCGCAACAGCTGCTATAGATACTTTCTATGAGCGCCAATATCGAGCTCTTTGTCAGACTCTCTTAAGCGATTCGAAAAGTGGATCCAATAATTGCCCAGATGGACTCAAGCAGGCTCATGGAAATCGTTCTGACGTTCACGATGCCTCCATCGCGGCTAACCGACATATTTACGAGCCGACGGCAAGCTTAGTCGTGGTGAGAGCCGAAAGTTCTGTTGGCGATTTATCGGCGCTTTATCGCTGCCGGATGGCCGACCGAGTGGCCAGCTGCGTCGCCGCGGCAGTCATAGCTACCGACAGGTCAGAATGGAAATATCAGGGCCTGGTCGGAGATTCTGTTACGGAAGATGACGCGGCTGTCCGTCCAGACATGCCGTCGAGTCGCAATCGCTGCTTCGGGGAAGCGCACACTTTGCTAAGATCTATGATGCACTTGTTGCCGATGGCAAGAGAAAGAGAGACGGGGAGAGGTGGACAAGAAAGAGAATGAAAAGAGGAATTGAACTCTGTGGAAAGTGGGGTAACTAACGCTTCTTCGTCGGCTTAGCTGCTGCTGCTGCTTCATCGTTGTCTTGATCCTCATCGATGTTCTCCAAGAGGCTCTCGAGCTCGTCGAGGTCACTCTTCTTCTGGAGAAAAACATAATAATTCAATCAATAAAATCAATTTTTCATTATTTACATAGAGCTTAATCATGTCACTTCATCTGTGGATTTGAGGCAGCTAACAAACAAAAAGTGCTGAGGAGGATACGGTAGCGGCGGGCGGACCCTTGGCCTCTAGGGATTAAGATACGATAAGATGGAGATACTGTAGGCTGAAAACCGTTCTGAGCGCCAATGGAGGCTTTGATCCGAGTGCGGCTGGCCCGCGGAAGCTTTCAAGGGGTTTCATTACCGCTGCAGAGCTTGTGGCAATACCATCACTACTAACTAATCAACTTAGGAACTAGCTTTCATTATGCATAGTTAAGCAGGATTGAATATGAGTTTAAAGGGAGTAGTAGGTAGAACAAAGTAAGTTACCTTGGCATCGACGAACGACGATGCTGTTACCAGCAGTAAGCAGGCGAGTAGACAAGTTCGCATCGCGGCTGCGAGTGAAGTGAGGGTTGGCCACGCCCCGTCCTGGCCAACCGGCGCACAACAGACAGCCAGCCGCACCAACACGACGATGAAGGCATCTACTGAGCCTCTAACTGAACCTTCCCAACTTCATAGTGAACCTTCCTAGTATCATGAACGCTTCGGAAGGGTTCAGGGCTCTCAGGGCCCTTGCTGCTGCTTGTTGGAAGGTACAGGTACCACTAAGGGCCAATTGGCTGGTACAGTATGACCAAAAGCGAACGGAACGTGAGAAATACGTTGCAAAAACTGCATACTCTTCCATCAAACACCCCGCCTAGCCCTTGGTGACACTCAGTTTCTCGAAAAGCGGTGAAGCCATCAGCGAGTTGTGCCAAGCACACGATGACACTCAAGGTTGGGTAACCGATATTCAACCGGCTGTTGCTGATCTTTATTTTCTTGGGAGCTAGGGGTTGAACAGGAATTATATCGGTCGAGGAAAAACAATGCATTACCATATTTTACTACAAACCATCTGAACTTGCCGATCCTAAGGACATATCCTGGAGTTAGCCGAAGATCAATGGCAGCACATTGGCTGCGGTTTTTTCGACGACATCTGTTGTATACGACAATCAGTGCGTCATTGATTTTCGGAGGATACCTCCTTGTTTTTGTTCGGATTAACTGGCTGGCCATATTTCTCCACGGCTGATAGGGTTTTTATCCGACTGTTTGAGAAAAGAGTGTACCCAAGATTTATACAGAAGCAAGAGCTCATTGGCTAGGCGCGGTCCACTACTTTCACAAGTAATCGAAGCAAGAAGATGAGAAGTTCAATTGCGGAAATTTGTGGGATGAGCCATGCACTAAAAGTTCCTTGGAATTTTATAGGTGAGTCAATTTTATTGTCCATGGAAACGCTGACAATGGGTCTGAACAACGGTCAACCGTCGCGTTCGCACTTTTTCCGAATTTCCTTTTCAGAATTTGGCGACCCCCCACCACCACATCAGCCTTAGAGGGTTTCCCGTAGACCACCGACCACACCATCGTCATCATGACTGCTTCTATGATGTGATTTCCTAGCCGACATAGCCCAACTTTCCGCCCACTTTCCTCTGGAAGGGCCGTCGAGCGGGGAGGAGGGATAAGGAGGCTAACAATCCTTTCCCGAAAC